CATGCAACACACACATATACACACACAAATTTACACACACATATACACACTTGGTAATCCATACTTATTTTGTCTATCTTTTCTATTCCTCTTTGTTTTATCCATTTCTTCTACTTTGAGAATAATTATTACTCTGGATTGTATTATTCATTGCCTAATTATTAACTTTATTTTGATCACATATGGCAAGACAAATAATGATAATATTGCCTATTTGAATATTTTAGATTTTTACAATAGCTGTGGTTCTAAGATAGAGAAGGTGCCACTCGAACCACTGTTTAGTGTTATTGTCCAACTGAAACTGTGTACATTGTTTTAGATAAACTATTTACCATGTTGTGTATAAGTTCATTCTTTCTAAAATTAGTATGAACACATAATTTTTGTGGTACACAAAAGCGGGAAAACCAGAGTAGAGAAATATCTACAAAAAGAAAGACAATTCATTTCAAGAAATTGTTCTCAATTTTCTACATCATACCTGTTAAAGGACGTTATCCAATTCATAAAAGAACGATAGAGGAGGACTCTCAAAACTCAAATACAAGCCTGCAATCAGGCTCACCAGGAGAAGCAGTTCTAGCTTAGTGGACATTGAAGAAGATGATTAAGTGATTCTGAATTACCTCTCATGATCCCATTCTCATATCTGGGAAGATTTAACAGCTTCTGAGTTGGATTAATCCTCTATATATTGAAATTTGAAAATTTTTCTACATATCTTGAGAGATAGTACAGTGGTAAGTGTAAGTGGTCATGTCAATCTGTCTGGTTTCAAGGTAAAGTTTAAGCAATCTGTGGTCTCACTAGACCTCAACTTTTTATTGTATTACTGCAGTTGATGTAAATGTAGAATCTTGCTTAGATGTTTACAATGATAAATGCTTAAATGAATGCAGGTAAAATAATTAACAAATTTATCTGCCAAATAGTAATTGTTATTTGTATGATTTTTATGTTAAATTCTGATTGTGAAGATCCATTAGATAGTATTTATATATGTGTGATTTTATGTTAAGTTCTGATTGTGAAGATCCATTAGATAGTATTTATAGATGTGAAGAGGCCTGGCACTTTCATGCTAATGAAATCTTCATAAGACTTAAAAACAGTTTTAATACTCTGTCCTATTTTGACACTAACAAACCATGACATCAGTGGTACACATAAGTAAAAATACAGTTTTTGTTATAGAATAACCAACCATAACTTTTCATTTTCACATGAATATTTGCAAAATAATATGCTATCTAGGAGAATATAAATAGAAAATGCTATTTATTGTCGGAAAAAACTGATGCATTCTAAGGAAGAATGACATCTTTCTCGCGATATATGTGATAGTAACTTGATCTATTCTCTTCAAATTAGTTTTTATTTTGAATTATTTGTTCAACGAAAAATAAGATCTTATGTATAAAATATGTTATTACAGTATAAGAATTATTAGCAGTTTAAAAAGAAGAGTACTCATTACATGATTTATGTAACTATAACCCCTGTATATCACCTTTATAATAACAATAAAAATATAAAGTAAAGACCTATTGAGTCTTTTGATGTGAAAGCTATTATTTTTTTCTATAATTGGAATTGAGACAGCTCAGTTGATATCAAAGTTTCCCAAACTGAGAAACAAAATCAAATTATTCTTAAAAACATCAAATACGATAACCAGTGATCAATTTGATGAGGTATATTTCACTCAAAATATATAATGTCTCATATTTACATAATAGATTAACTTCCGACTATTGAACATAACAAAATACAATGGGGCAATAGATTTTCATGAATTGCTCAAGGTAATTTAATTTGGAAAGTGGGATTAAAGTTTGGGTGTTGTATCAACACTATCATGCAGAAATCTGTTTTTCAAAGTAAATTGAGTGCCTGGAAATGACAGGCATCTTACACAATTTCTCACAAGAGATTAATTAACGTCTTGTCAAGATAATGTCATCAATTTATTTATAAATTCAAAAACTACTAGATCCAAATTTAAGACAAAATAAACCTAATAATGTTGTATTCTGGTATTTATTTCAACAATTTTATTAGCATAGAAAAGCCAGGTGTTGGCTATTTTGAACTTTATGAGAGCCAAAATATGGAAAAAGCCAAGAGGTAGAATTTAATAGCCAATATGAATAGACCAAATAGTATAAGTGGCAGGAGGGAACAATTTCCATGCTCTTCATCTTCCAAGTTTCTCCTGTTAGTAAAGACTTTATCTCAGATGCATTACCTATGAGAGATATTTTTATTCCCAGTCACTAACTTCTTCCTGAGTGAAACCAAAACTACTCTTAGAAAAATGTGCTTAAAACTGTTTAGAGCAAGTTTTCAAAGGCCTTTTGGTCTTTATTGTTTATTTAATTTTTAATACAAAGGGATTCTTTTTGTCTTTTCAAAACACAGTTCCCATTTTGAAGCTAACATAAAATCTGATTACTGTACCAGGACTACCTTGCTCTCTTCTCCCTCAGTAAATTCCAACACTCTTGTGAACTGAAGTACCATCTGGGTCAGCATCACAGAATGGAAAACAGATGGACAAGAGACATGCAGTAAATGAGGAAAGCAACAGAGAATAGAATGATTATCTATAGTAATGTGAAGTATGTATTATAGTATAAATTTGGGAAATTTAAGTGTTTTGGAAATCAAAGCTTTCAATAAAATTCTCATGAATACAAGCACCCTCTTTTGGAAGCTGTCATTTGACATCATTATTCAGTTTCCCACTGGAATATATTACCTCTTAACAAAGGAATACTTGAAAAGTCCAGCACATAATGCATGAAATATGTATCAGACTACTGTATGAGTCAGTCCATCAAGCACTAAATGGATTTCAAAGGTGCACTCATAATGGATTCCAGCATAAAGACACTGATGAAAAGGGGCAGCTACAAAGTATGGATGGCGAAGAAACAGACAGAGTAAAATAAATGGACGACATTCACCAGTGAATACATTAAGCACGAGTGAAAGCCCAGATTTATTAGTTGGCTTTGGGTTTCTAAAGCATGGAATAAGATTGAAGTAATACAGAATCATTACACAAAGATGTGAGTGCTTCCATTTTGAACTCCTCTGTCTTATATGAAACATCTAAGAGTATATGGAATTCTTTTCTTTTTGGAGAGGGAGGTCCGGTCGTGGGGTCTGAACTCTGGGCCTAGACGCTGTCCCTCAGCTCTTCAGCTCAAGGCTAGCGCTCTACCACTTGAGCCACAGCTCAACTTCCGGCTTTTTTCTTTTTGCTTATGTGGTGCTGAGGAATCGAATCCAGGGCCTCATGCATGCAAGGCAAGCGCTCTACCACTGAGCCACCTTCCCAGCCCTCAAGGAATTATTTTCTTAAGTTACAATAAGTAGCCATTTTTTTCTTCACATTGTCTAAAATTGCAAAATTCTTAAAGTCAGTATTATCTTTTATTCTGAGATGTTAAATTATTTAATTTATTAATGTACAAAATGGCATATACAAATATAAAACAAAACTCAGAATGAATCAACTTGATTTGTATAGATTATAAAAAAATGTTTGTGTAAGTACATAGACATACTTTCCTTCTTTTACTAAATAGGATATACCTCTATGATTGCATCACATTTTTGTATTATATGTAGAAAAAAAGTTTATTATTTTACAGAAGGTTTCTCACTGTGACATAGAAGTGATTTGCCTTTTATAGATATACTAATCTTTTCTGAAGAAGTCAGTTTATCTTTTTTGAGTACTAAAAATCTTGGATTAGGAATTTAAGATAATGTTCACGTAAGTAATCATGAAAAGCAGAGCCTTTTTAATTACAGTATTTTGGAGCAGCAAAAATCCCATGGAGATACTAAATTGAATCATTTTTATAATTATTTCACTTGATTAAATCCAAAATTAACTTTGAACAAAACTGTCATATATTAGACATAAACTCTCAAGCCCTAAAATATATCACTAACACAGGTACTTTTGCTGTCTCCATTCTTTCTTTCTTTCTTTTGTTTTCTTTTTTTGCAGGGTGTGGGAGGAAGAGGCTTGAACTCTGGGCCTGGGTGCTGTTCCTGAACACTTCAGCTCAAGGTGAACACTTTACTATTTGAGCCACAGTGCCACTTCCAGATTTCTGGTGGTTAATTAGAGATAAGAGTCTCATAGACTTTCCTACATAGGCTGGCTTTGAACCATGATCCACAGATCTCAGCCTCCTGAGTAGCTAGGATTATAGGTGTCCAGCTCTCCTTTCATATAAGAAAACTGAGGCTTGGAGAAGTCAGGTTATGTGGTTAGTACATGAACAGATCCTGAATAGAAGCAATGAAGTTTTAGTACACTGTACTCTTGGCATATGTGTGTGTGTGTGTGTGTGTGTGTGTGTGTGTGTGTGTGTGTGTGTTGGTGCCTGTATGCATGTATGTATGCATATCATATAAGGATTTGTTTGCTTTTATGTAGAAGTTTAGTCTTTCTTGAGCCCTTGCAATCAGTTGCCACTACTCTATTGATTTAATATCAGAAGACCAATACCCTGAAAATTGTTCAAGGTGACGGCTCAAAGCAGTCAGTAACTTAGCCCTACAGAGATAGAAGCAATCTTGTCCTGCCTAGCCTATATACAATAATTTAGATGATTTTTCAAACTTCTTGGATACTGTCCTACAATGAGGTTATGGTAAGTAAATATATGTATATATAACATGTATATATAATATATAATACAATGCGCTGAATTTCTGTGAGTTTTCTTAATTCAACATTTCCTATTCAGAATTGTTGAATCTATAGCAGTTGTCTCAGTGGGAAGTATAAACTCCCCATCTCCTGCTTATTCTTCTTCTATAGCCCACAAAGCTTACATACCACTCAAGTTAGCTTCACATGAAAGTTGAGAGGAAAACCTTCTTAGAAGGAGTTAAATGGGAGCTAATTTTCCAACGACCACACTACAGACATGTTTTAAATTAGCTCTTTTGTCTCTCTCAGCAGTATCATGGCAGTCCACAGGAACAAGCACCTTACAAGAGGTGGCAAAAATGGAATAAAAAAGAGAAAGCTTTTTTGATACATTTTCTAAGAATGATCAGTACGATGTGAAAGCACCAGCCACGTTCAATATAATAAGTATTGAGGAAACACTAGTCACCAGGACTCAATGAATCCAAATTACAACTGCATCTGCTGGCATTAAGGGTCAGGTGTTTGAAGTGAACCCCCTGACCTGCCGAATGATGAAGTTGCATTTAGAAAAGTCAAACTAAGTAATGAGGATAATCAGAGGAAGAACTGCCTGACCAACTTTATGACATGGATCTCAATGGAGACAAAATGTACTCCATGGTCAAAAAATGGCAGACCATGACTGAAGCTCCTGTTGATGTCATGAGTATAGATAGTTACTTGCTTTATTTGTTCTGTGATAGTTTTACTAAAAATCTAACAACAAGATAAGAGAGATCTGCTATGCTCAGCATCAACTGTTCTGCTAAATCCTAAAGATGATGATGGAACTTAGGACTGAGAAGTGAAGACAAATGAAAGAAGTACTTAATAAATTGATTCCAGAAAGCGTTTTGGTGAAAACATAGAAGAAAAGTCTTACCAGTCCATCCATTTCTAGTATCTTTGTTAGAGAACTAAAATGCTGAAGAAGCCCAAGTTTGAATTGGGAAAACTCATGGAGCTCCATGGTGAAGGTAATAGTTCTGGAAAACAATACCAGGGTTGACATCAGTGATAAAGTTGAATGAGCTAATGGATATGGCTCATCAGTCTAAAGAATCCATGTAAAAGTTAGGTTTTTATAGTGACAAAAGGCCTATTTGTGAAACAAATATTTTAAATTAAGGTGATATGTCTAGAAAATTAAGTCTCAGAACTGCTCATATGAGGGCTTGAGTCATTAGTTTCTTAGTTATCAAATCTTTATGCTAAATTCTAAGGAAAATGGATATGGCTTTTGTTTAAACTGCTAGTGTTTTTCATTACCTTGACCTTCCTCTTTTTTTCTCTTTATTACCTAAATATTACTATTCTTAGTGATAATATGTATATATATATGTGCAGTAGTATGTCATGTACAGAAAGAGAAAGGATAGAAGACAAAAAATTTGTGTTATAATGATTTCTATGGGGGATTTTTATGCAGGCTCCTTTCCAAACCTTGGACATGATTTCCAATCTCATATTCTTCTTAGCCTGTGATGAAGTGATATCACATATTAAGTTCAGTATACATGTTTTGAATATCTGTATTTTATTAGAGATTTTGATACATACTATGTATTCATACATAAGTATGAAACTATCTTCAGGGAATATACATCTAGGATTCCTATTTAAATCATTATATATTATTACTTTGAACAATGCATTTTGCTGAGAAGTAAATCACTTCTTTACAGTTCAAGATTTTGAAGCAAGTGTGTTCCTCATCTATTTTGACATATTGTATGGAATTCAGACACAAAGTTCTGTTGTATATGTTTAGCTAAGTCCTCACTCTATCTCTCTAGTTTATGAGGGTTGAGGGGGTGAGGTCAAAAAACTTTCCTCAGGGACCAAACACATCACAATCAATTTAGTCCAAATCTGAGTTCAGAGCAGTGGGTTGAATAAGTGCTCTTCAGACTTAGCATTTCAAAAATGTAGAAAATTTTATAACTACCAATGAATAAAATTGATTTTAGAACATAGAATGTTATTTCAATGATATATCTGATACTATATAGTCAAAATTTCATGAAAATTTATTCTACATTTCCAAATCTTACTGTTCATAAGAAAACTGGGAAAACATTCCAGAAAGTTGTTGGCTAACTCATTAAACAGAAACTCATTAAAAACCTTCCCAAGTTTTTTTTTTCCTTCCCAAGTTTTTAATTAAAAAATATAAAAAGAGGAATCCTGGTTAAAGACCTGAGCCTTTTTCAAAGCCTCAGTGTTACAGATACATTCTTCTCTTTGAATTAGATGGTTTCCATACTATGCTTTTCATTTTTATATATTTTATTCAGAGTATGTTACTTTCAGATACTTTATTTTGTTCATTAAATCAGTAGAAATTACTGAAAGAAAGCTATATTTATTTCACTTCAAATGCTTAGTGAATACTACCCCAAACCTTAGTTTATTTGTATTTTTTTTCCTGTAGCGGTTTAGGGAAATCTCTAAGTCTGATATGATGTGTATCACAAACAAGCTCATATCTTCTCTGGATGCTTGTCCATTATGGTCCATCTGGCAATGCTGTGTTCTGGAGTTATTTTTGGCAAAATAATCAGCTGTTGCAGCCAAAAATAAGAGTATTAGAAAGAACTGCCCATATATAAGACCAAAAGAAAGTGATGAGTGCCTGTAATACATGGGTAGGAACAAAGGTCTATTTCTGAATGATAGTTGGTGGGGAGGTGGGGGCTTTGCAGAAGAAACTTACCTTTCTTCACTTTATTCTGTGTCATCTTTTTTTTTTACCTTGGATATATTCAACTTTTTTTGAGAAAGCATGCTGCACACAAGGCCTTTCATGGCAGGGCATATCTCCTAAACATTCTTTTTAAATTGTCAGACATTTCAAGGGGATCAAATTTAATACTTAGATCCCATCATTAAGTTATTAATTTTATACTTAATTAATATTGATGAGAAAAATAAGATTACTGATCAGTTTATTAAGGATGTAGCAATTACACTACAATTAGTAACAGTGAAGCAGCAATGGCATTGTAATATAGCATATTTCTTACTCTGTGGCAGATACTGTCAGATATATTATTCAGCTATGTTACTATTAGTTGAGTTTACAAATCAAGGCATTGAATAAGATTATAGAACTTGAAAAAATTCATAAGCATTAATAAAAGTGCATTTTATTGGAAGTTTGCACCTTTTAATATACATGAAGAATATCAGGAATCATTTTCTAGACACATTTATGTGCAATCACCAGTAATATAGATAGAATTCCATGGGAATAAAATTTAAATGTAGGTCTTATTCCAAAGACCATATTCCATCTACTAAATAAATTTAATTAGATATATATTTAGGGAGCAAGAGTGGGAAAAATAGGAAGAGGAAGAGGGGAAGAGAACAGGATGTCACATTATCAGGAGGTACAGAAATATATCCAGATACACTTCATACCAAAAACCACTACTATAATTCTTTGAACAAACTCTACTCATAACATTACTGAAACTTAATGAGAAAATGTTGTATTTGTAGTCAAATTCACCTTTATAATATTTCATTACTATGTAACTAATAGTGGAACATTCCTATGATAGTCTATGAAGAATAAGTTCAGAGATGAGCACCAGTGACCCATGTCTGTATTGTAGCTATTCAGGAGGCTAGGATGTGAAAATTGTGGCTCAAAGCTAGCCTGGCTAAGAAAGTCCATGAGACTCTTATCTATAGCTAACCACCAAAAAGACAAGAATACAAAAAGTGAAACTGTGGCTCAAATCGTAGAGTGCTAACCCTAAGCAAAAAGCCCAGGTATTTACCCCAGGCCCTGAGTTTAAGACCTAGGACCAGTATAAAACAAATAAAAATAAATTTGAGACAATATTTTTCACAGAAAAATGCCACCTTCACATAAAAGTTTAATTCAGACTCTTGTGAAAGTTTAGTTTGAGAAAAAAAACTATAAGCCCTCTCATTTACCAGAGTCACGTCAAAAGGAAAATAAGACTATTGAATAAACAGTGAAGGCAAGAAGAGCACAAAGTTATATCTAAAATACTGTACAGAAGAACTGGAACATTTAATAAAGTAAAATAGGCTAGAAACAGAAACAATACTGCATTTGCTCACTCATGTAGGACCTAAAAATTGTTGAATTTACAGAAATTAGGAGTGGCATGATGGCTAACACCTAGCCTGGAGTGTGTGAGGTGAAAATTGTTACTGTAGCTGTCACAACTAAAAACATTTAATAGAATGAGAGGAAGAAATTCAGAAAATCTATTGTACAATAGTGTGACTATGGTTGAAATCACGTTTTATTCTTGAAAAATGTTAAGAGAGTTGTTAGGAAGTTTTAGTCCATGAAAATAATTATGTGAATGCATATGCTAACTGGTTGGATTTTGTCAGTCTACTTTGCCTAACTGGTGGAATATATGAAGCTTGTACACACAATTAGAACAAAATCTTGTGCCTGGTAACTATAATTTTATCTGTCAAGGTAAGAAATGAGAAAGAAAAAGAACATTATAGTTCTCATTTTGTTGGTTTAGGTCTAGCAAACTGTGACTACAAGCTCAAATGTGAAATGGACATTGAGTTATATTTCTTTTATTGACAAATATAGTTTCCACTTTGAAGAAGTGGCCTCAATTCTAAGTAGCTAAATAGCTATTTTCAATCAGAATAATAAAATATGATTTAATTTACAAAACTGTTTCTCAACATATACATGAAAAGATGTAAAATATTACATGAGAATATCTGAAGGTCAAAATGTAGTTTAAAAATAACCCTGATCCACTGGCTCTATTGATTGTTTCTCTTGTGTTATTATTATACCTTCCTCAAACAATTATTTCTTCACCCTAAGGCAATAAGGGAGGTGATATAGTATAAGAAAACAAAACTCCCAAGATGCTAACATTTGAAAAAACAATGCTACAACAGGGGCAAATGATCCACCTGGGAATAGAGAATTTGGCACAACTAGATTGCAAAATTTTAAAGGCCCTCCAAAACTTGGTTAAGACCTATCCTCAAAAAGGGACACCAATTGCATCACATTTCCCTCTTTATTATTAGATTGTTTTCATTTTCATTCTTAAAAATGAAGTGAAGACCCATTTTACATTATAGATTCAATAATGGGCCCCCATCAATGTTTAAAAGTGAGTTATTATTTAATAGATTCATTAAGTTAAGATTTTTCAAATTCACATTTTGGTTAGAGTAATAATACCTTAACCTTACAGTTATTAGTACATTGATGTTTAAATGTACAATGCATTGTCTTAAAATATTATTCAGATGAGCAAGTTTTCTTTGATGCCTGGCCTTTCTCATTCAGTTCTTCCAAGAAGTGATAGACAAAAGGTAGAACATTCTATTAAAAATAATTTAAAGAATCCCTTTTACGCCAAAGCTAGAGAAATTCCTAAACATTTTGGATTCAAAACACTTAATATCTTAGTAGCATTTTTTTACACAGTCAAGGCTAAATGAAATATATAGTAGTTACATTTATTTAGTAGTTAAATCAAGACAGCTTATTGTGTATTTATGTCCAACAACTTAGCATACTTTGGCAAAAAGATCACACAAATTTAAAGAATAAAGTAATGTTTTATTCGATTTTGAGTAACTCAAATTGAATGTGTATACCTATTTGGCTCTAAACAGTTCCTCAAGCTCCTAAATCAGAACAATCTCATCTCTCCAGAACAATCTCATCTCTCATTTCCTGTTCTAGAATCATTCTTACATGGTTTGTGCTTTTCATCTTAGAAGTACAAGGATACAGGTTGCCAGGTATTATGTCATCAAAAGGAATGTAACTCAATGATGAAATTGTAAATAATTCCATATTAGTAATTTACTCTGTGTTTGTCAGAGTGCTGCTGTATTTTCATTGAAAACTTCAAGTATATGCAGCCATTTCATGGCTTGGTAAACTCCTAAATGAATGTGTGCTCACAAGTGGCATTATATCGTTTCCTTTTGCTTAAGATGTTACTTATTACTAAATTCACAATA